AGTGTCACAGTTGGATGGTTTGATTCAAAGATAGTTATTTTTCTACTGCAGAAATGCCTTGGACAAAACCAGTTGGTCTCTGAATCTTTGCCACTAAATGGAACAGTCTCTCCTGGGGGGTCAGGATGTGCCTATCCTTGTCCCAGTCTCACCCACCCTGCCTCTCTGTCCCTGGGCTGCCCACTTCCCAAGCTAACCTGCAAGGCAGCCTGCTGCTGCTCCCCGCACGGAGGCCGGAGCTGCCCTGTTGCATGTGCATTGGGAGGTGTGGCTTTTTCTCCTTTTCCTTTAGGAATTCCAGACTGACCATCTACCATGACTAACAACAATGAACAAAGGGCTTAGGGGTAAGAGCTACCTACAAAGACGTGTCATGGAAACCTTCACCATGCAATGCCTTGAACTCAGCTCTGGCTGCTCCCAAGAACAGGTGGCTGGCTGGGGGCCTGGACACAAGCACAATGGGGCTGGTGGAGCCATGTGCAGCGCTACTTGAATCCCCACCGGGTCTTCATCAACTCCTTTTGTAACAGACCACTCAAGGGCTGAAGTGTCGGTAACCTGCATTTCGGTGTCCAATGCCTCACAGCAGCTGAGCCACCCTGAGATGATGTGGCCACATGATGGCCACAGTCAGAGCTTTGAAAGTCAGTACCAAATGAACGCATAATTGGACACCAAAAATCAAGTGTTACTTTCATGTTTCCTCACCCACCTCATCTCATTTCTTCCTGCTGACTCTGTGATAGCTCCACTAAGCTGCCCTGTCAGGTTTTAGCTGGATGCATATACTAGTAGGTGCAGGCCAGCATCACTTGTGTTTTTTCAGACAGACCTACTCTGTGGAAAGGATGGAGCCTAGCTGCTTTGTTTTTCTCGCACTTGCTGGCTGGACTTTTCTTTTGCCGAATCACTAACCAAAACACTTGGTTAGGGGGACTCAACTCAGTCCCTTCTGTCCCTGGGACCAGACAGAGTTAATTCTGGAAATTTCAGTACTTGAATGTACCTGCCTTATTGTGTACCAACTTAACTGGAAAAAAGTTAGAAATGCTGGCTCTAGATCTCTACTTCATTCACAGGTTACTTTGGGAATCTGTAAGTTACACTTCCTATTCTGGCTTCGTTTCTCTGTTTCGTTTTGTTTTCCTTTGGCTGATTCCTGCTGAGTGGGGCCGGTTCCTCCTCGGGCTCCGGACGGGTGCCGTTCTCAGGCGTGGCCTCCCTTCCGTACAGCACAGCATCTCCGTCTCTGTTCTGTCTCCTCCAAATCCAAGATGATTTCAATTAGTACAGACATGTACAGTCTACAATTAAAGTGATTTGTACTAATCTGATTTTGATTCTTCCTCCTTTTGCTGTCCTTTCAAGACACTTGCTGGAAAAAGCTTTAATGCACTTAGTTTCCTTTAGGTTTTCTATAACTCGGATGTAAAGGACTTTCTCTGTACAGTATATATTATCCAATGCATGTTTGTTCTCTATCCTGATATATTGAACACCACACAGTTGTGAACTCGTGCCGTGGGGAGTCCCACACCCACCAGAGGCGTCTAGCCCCCCGTGTATAAGGAAGGCATTTCCTTTGCTGTACTTGCTTGAGCAGTTTTATTGTCTGTACATGTGAGCTGTGTGAGATAGATGTGAAAAGTTAAGTGAATGCATTTTCCTGCCCATGTATACAGATCGCCATCTGTACAATGAACTGTATGTATGAAAGCAAATGTACTTATTTATAAATGGGTAACACTTGGAAAAACATGGCGTTGTGGTGCTTTCTCCTTCCGTGACCTCTCCAGGCAGCTGGCTCAGGCCCACCCTCACTGAGGCCTGCGGTGCCGAGGAAGCTCCTGAGGACGACTCCACAGGTTAAGGCGAAGGCCAAAAGCGAGATGATTTGGTTGGTCTCCTGCGAGACCTTCCGATCACCCCTCAGGCTGTGCTCACTGGTTGAAGTGCTTGAGCACCTCCTTGGAGTTGGACACTGATAGGCCCTGGAGAACCGTGGGCAAGAAAAGGCCGTCAGAGGCCTGTCCGCCGAGGCCCACCGCGTGTGATGAGAAAGGGAGGCTTTTTCTTCAGTGGAAGAGTTTTTCTCCAGCCACACCACGCGAGCACTGACCCCGGTTCATTTGAATAGCTGAGGTGGGGCTGCACCCAATCCAGCTACCGTCCCAAAACTGCAGGCTGAGGCGACCGCCAGTTAGAGCTGCTAGGTTAGAAGCTGTGCCCGAGGTGGGGGGCAGCCCTAGCTGTCCCAGGACTGGCTCAGTGAGCGCTGGGAGCCCACTGCTTCCAGTGGCTTTATATTTTTTTCAGAAATCTGGCCGGAAATTCCAGTCCTCACCATGCAGACAGCTAGGCAGATGCACTGTGAATGGAGAGGCTGCAGATTTCCTGAAATTGGCTGTGGAGACTCATTATCTTACAAAGTGGCCAGCACTGAGTCCGGCCACCTTTCCTGCCTAGCTCCTACCTCTTTACTTCAGGGACAAGCAAGGAAGGAGACCACTTCCTCTAGACACCGGATTGTGCTGAACAAACATGCCTACTGGGTAGCAACTTCCATTTCCCCCACAACCTAAGCTGGGGAGCAGGAGACCAGGGGTGCACCGCCACCCCAGCCTGGACGCCAGGACTGTTGGGAGAGGAGAGGACCCAAAGGAACCACCTGCTCGGTCTGAAAGCCATTCCTGGGTGGCCAGTTAGCTCATTAAAAATAAAAAATGAGTAAGTGGTTGGCAAGAGGGAAAAAAAGCCTTTTAAGGATGCCTGGGACATTGGAAGAAAGGTGAAGGTAGTGATTCCTAAAAAGCTAATTCTTAAAAAGGAACTTACCCTGAACCTGGCTAAAGAAACAGCAGCAGCAAACAAGGTCTTTGTCGAATCCCAGAAGTCCCGAATCAGACCGTCTTCCCTGTATTTTCATTCCCCACAGGCGCCCTTTAGCAGCTCCTGTAGCGCAATGCCCCGCTGCACACGGGCGCACAAGATAGCCAGACCCCCTTCCACAGGCAGAGATGGGGGGGCGGCACGCAGCGTCATCCTCTCAGCTTTAAAAATGGGAGCTGGAGGAGTCTCGAGAAATTTGGGAACTGAGTCTGTTCCCAGGAACAAGGATGGGCGTTCGTAACAAGTGTATTGTGTCTGGAAGGCCCTGTGGTGAAAGCTCCGGGAGGTCCCACAGAGGCCATGTTCAGAGCCCATGTGCTGGGCTGTTCTCGAGACACTGTGGATAGGGACTATATATGTTCTCTAATTTTCTTCACGTAACCTCTGACAGATGGCATCATTCTCTCCAAAACACAAATGCAAATGCAGAGCCTGAGACCTTAAACTGACACAGGCAAAGGTGGGACTGGCTCAGACCTGCCTGCACGGTTCCCCTGTGCCAGGCTGCCCACTTCTCAGAAGAGGTGACCCACGAAGCAAGCAACCTGAACAACTGCAGGAGTAAGGGCAGCGGGTCAAGAAGGACGCTTGCTACTTTGTGCTCCTTTGGAGAAACAACTCCGCCGAGGTCAAGAGGAGTCACTGTGGCACCTGTAGGGGCTTCCCGGCCCTGTGAGGAGGTGGGTCCCTCCCGAGGAGGTGAAGGAGTGACACTGGAGGGAGGGGCGTCACCCTGTCTGGATCCTTTGAATGTTCACAGACACAGAGACCCTGAACTCTCAGGGGCTCCCACAAAGGCCAGAGAGAGGGGGCACACTCACAGGTCATGGTGCCTCTGCCCTCGCCCCGAGAGCCCGCAGCCCTGACCCTGACTGAGCTCAGCTGTGGCGTGTATCGAGCAACGTGCTTTGCATGCTTTTAAGCAAATGAAGGTCCACAGAGAACCTTGATTCGGGAGAAAGACTCTTCAGCTGCATAAAGCAAAGACCTCTGCAGCTCTGGCTCAGACACCACACTGAAAAGGAAGGGACTGTTAGGAAGAATTTGTGTCAACAAAGGACTGTTTACCACATCAGAGGGTTTGCTGTAGGGTCCCCGTGGAGTGAGCTAGTTGTGGAGTCGTTTTAAGTGCTTTTCAGGAGCACACGGTGTGTTCCGTCGGGTGAGATCACACCCAACGTTCCCGGAACCTCGGTTCTCAAGGCTTTGCTCTTAAGGAATAAAGAGGCATATTTTTAAAAAGAAAAAGGTTAATGGAATACTGGGGGGAACTTCTTGCTGAGGCCTTCATCAGCCCCTTACAGCTCCACCGTGCAGGACACTCGAGGGGTGAGAAAGGGGTTTCCCTCATCACATGGAAGAGCCTCCCACGAGCCCCGTGCCTGGGCAGAGCTGGGCTGATAAATATCATTAGTCATGACCTGTGTGCCCAGCCTGGGGACATCCTACTTCTCTCCACCCGGCAGAACCGCCTTCACGTACCTGACTGCCAAAAGCACTGGCTCCTTATTGCCACAATAAATGACGATAGCAGGCGAGACATCTGCTGTAGACATTTATTAAATCTCCTGTTGCATCGACACGACGTTATATTTCACAAAAGACTGGCCACAGGCAAATACAATAAACTACGCGGGTCAGCTTTCGGGGGCTTTTTGCTCCTTCGTCATCCAACATACACTTTGGCAAACAGACTGGTTTACAGATTTTCCTTGCAAATCCGAGGCTCCGTTTCTCTTGGAGGCATTCGGCAGGGGAGATACCGTTTCCTTTGGTAGTTTGTCTAAGGTGGAGTTTTCTCACATGTAAACATTGACTACACAAGCGAGTGCCAGGTGATGAAAGAATTGATGAGGCCTGGGCCCCCACTGAGTGCACAGTCTAAACGAGCCAACACCCTCATCCAGGCGAGCTGCAGGGGAGGCGGGAGGGGCTGGGTGGAGCCCACGCGGGGGAGGCGCTGGACCACAGCCACCTGCTGAGAAGTGGCCTCGCTGGAGGCACTGAGTATCAGAAATCGGAGCAGTAGAGGAGACTACCCCCTTTCTCCAAGGCAGCATGAAGCTGTGAAAAAGGCAACGGTTAAGAAAACACACGCTAGATTTGGAAATGTTATTAACTTCTTCATTTAAGTAAACCGTGTCTGTCTCGAACTGTGTCATGCTCCTCAAAGCCCAGAAAATGAACAAAACAAGGAGAGAACACTCGCCAAGTCCAAGCACAAGATCGATGCTCTAATCACGTTATTTCTAGACTGAAGCCAAACAGTGACTCGGCTAACAGCACAGCACATGTGTGGGGTTGGGGGGTTACTGTGATTCCGACTCAGTCCCCACTTCCTGCAGAGATGGGCCCTGGAAGGTCAGGGCAGATGAGGCTTCCTCCCGGACAGAAGCGGGCAGCCCCGCCGCCCCATTGAAAGGGAAAGGGGGCAGGAGCAGCAGCTTTTCATTGATAAAAAGGTGGTGCCCTCAGCCTCTGGTCAGAGCAGTGCCTGCCTGGCTGGTGAGCATGGACAATGGGAGCCGCAGGCTGAGCTGCAAGGTAAGCCACCACCCACAGCAGCCTACGCAGGGGCCCTCTCCCTCCTCTTCAGCTGCCGGGGGAGGTTTGTCTGTGCCCCATCCCCTCTCCCAGCAAAGCCATCCTGGGGCCAAAGAGCTAAAGAAGGGAAGGCTGGAGAGCACAGCTGGGTGAGAGCTGTCTCCAGAGCTTCCCAGGGGCCAGTCCCGCCCCCCTCCAGGGGAGCTGCACTCTGAACACCCACATAGTTTACAGATAATATCACTTGTTCCACTGCCAAACACCAGGCTCATTCGGACCATGTGTCCCCCCAGGCTAACGAGACTCCTGGCTTGAATTCAGTTACACAAAGCAACTCTTGGCTTTGCCGGGCCTGTCGCTGAGGCCCAGTTCCCCCACAGCCCGAGGACTCGGCCCTCACCCACTGCCTCTACTGGGGGAGCCGCTCTCCGACTCCTTCAGGGGTCTGAGCTTCTGCGATCACCCAAACGCCTACTCAAAGCTTCTCCATTTGAGGGGGTGATGGGGACACCAGGGACAGGGTCTGCACATGACTAACAGGGCACTAAAGCATCAGTGAGGAGGGGGAAGCAGAGGTGGCCAAGCCCTACAGCCTGGAAACCATTGCTCAAAGAGGCAGGCTGCCCCCACGGTCCCCACCCACTCCGGTCCCCACCCGCTCTGCCCAGCATCCCGGGAGCCAGGAATCCTGAAGGCAGCCCCCCGAGGCTGTGGGAGAGACACCTGTGATAACGGGACCCGAGGAGGCCCCGCTGACAGGTCGCGCAGCCAGGCCCCACACTCAGGCCCCGCCACCCCCGCAGGGCCTGAGCAGCCTGTCACTGGGAGCTGGGGCTGTCGCCCTCCGTCAGTGTCTTGAAGTCCATGGAGAGGGCTTGCTCTTCGGCCTGGGGGGGCCGCTTCCATTCGGTGCGAGTCAAGATGTAGAGCACAACCAGAGCAAAGCCGGCCAGCAGCAGCCCCAGCACGTTGGCCAGGACACCCTCGGGCTCAAACATGCTGTACTTGGTCCTGCAGGGTCAGGGTGGAAGGGAGAAGCCACCCCTGGGGTCACCATTAGGCCACATGCCATTCACGCCTGAGCCAGAAAGATGCCTCGGTCCAAGCCCAGCCCCTCCCTCCCCCACCCGGAGAGAAAGCCACTGGGTGGCTCACTCACAGAGAGCTGGCTCAGAAGGCAGAGGTCCAGGGGGTCAGGCCACTCACCCGAGTTTAAACAGCAGCGCCTCCTTCAGGCCCAGCAGGGCTGTGCCCACAGACAGGAGGAAGATGGAGGCGCCAAAGAAGATGTGCAGTGGGCGATAGCGGCTCCGCAGAGAAAACGAAGCTCCAGGGAACAGGAAGAAGCTGAAGCCCACCAGCCACTGGAAGGGACGGCGAGGAGGGGACCACGCTGGCCATCGGCTCACCAACCGAGGACACCAAGCCAGATGGGAACCCCTCACCCCCTCACCCATCCACTGGTTTCCTCCACCGTCAGAGCGGTGGGCGGGGAGCAGCGAGCACTCGGGGTAAGGTCCTGGCCTCAGGCCTGGTCTCCTTTGTCATTCCTGCACCCTCGGAGGGGGCCTTGGCCAAACTACGTGGGTGTCAGCTGGAAGGCCACCGGGATCCAAGGCCCCTCACCCCTAAAATCCTGGCTTATACCCATCTCAGAATCTGAAAGCAGCATCCAGCTGTACTACAGGACTTCCACCTGTGGACACACTCCCTGGACAATGGGGCCGCTGAGGCACACGCACTATTTTAGCCCCTTCCTCCCCACTCCTCTGCCCGCCCCAGCCCTGGCTCGCCCTGCCCCCTGCCTCCCTCACAGCTGTGGGGCGGAAAGGACTCACCTGCACAACATAGAGAACAAAGGCAAGGATGCCGCACCAGCTGTGCAAGCTGTACAGGTCAGCATAGCCCTTTTTCCGGTGGTAGTCGAACACTGCCACCAGGCCTGGACGGAGACAGGGTCACGTGAGGATGGGCCAATGGGGGAAGGGAGAGGGCCAGGTGACCCAGGAGAAACCTGACTAGCCGGGACTTCCGGGACTTCTGGGCTCCCGTCCCAGCACCCAATGTCCTGCCCCGCCTGGGACGCCTGGAAGGCAGGGAGGCAGGGCTGTGCCCGGGAACTCACCCACCAGGGCGATGATGAAGGCAAAGCCGTGCAGCAGCCCGTGCAGGATTTTGGTTGTGCGTTTGGCCTCGTTCCTGAAGACGCGGTAAACCAGCAGGGCTATGGGAGTGAGAAAGGGAGTCAGCACCCTCACGAGCACCAGGCCTTCCTGCCAGAGCAGCAAGGAGACACCCCATGGCTGAGAGCTGATCTGAGTCAAGGCCTTGTCCAGGTACCCCAGCCGCAGGAAATGGAGGAGAAAACTGGCTCCATGGGGCCCAGCTGGTCCGACACCTTCTTGCCGGGCGTCCTGTGTATTCCAGGTTGAGTGTTAGGTTCATCATGCAGTCACACGGAGATGCCCCGAGCTTCTGAGCTTCCCTATGGCTGTGAGGGTCCTCAAACAGATCAGATATCCACTACTTTCAGCAAGCAGGGCTGGGACCTCGCTCCTACCCAGAGAGAGCACTGTCCGGCATTCCCCCCACACACTCACTATTCCCCCAACTTCAAACGGGGCCTCAGAAGGCAGCTCAGCGCCCAGCCCCGCCCCTGGGCTCCTCCCTGTGAAGCACACACACCGTTGGGGGCTCCTTATTGAAGCTGGAGGTGAAAGAGCTGGGACACGTTGGGAAGGAGGAGCCACCACCACTGGCAGGGCTCCTGTCTGGACTCCCAGGGTCTCCAGGCCCCTTCTCTACCTGTCTTTTCTAGAATCTTCGATCTAACAGCGAGAGACCTCAGGGGTGATGGGGTCGCAAAGCACCCCTGTGGGCGCGGCCGCGGGGAGCCCGCGAGACTCACCGTCTCCCTGCAGGAAGATCAGGCCTATGACCATGCAGAGCGGGTGCACATTAAACTGCAGGGCGCTCTCCCAGGCGATGCCTCCCCGGTACAGACCCAGCCAGGCGCCGGTCACCGCCACCACGGTGAGGCCCAGCAGCTGGGAGAAAGCCACACAGTAGGACAGCCCTCCAGGGCGGGGGCTGGCATGGCTCTCCATGCTGAGGCGGCAGCTGCAGGAGAAAGACAGCAGAGCTCAGGGGACAGCCACAACCTCCAAATGACACGGCCCAGGACCCCCAAGGCGGCCCCCTGCCGCCCCCCTCTCTGCCGCCCCACACCCCACACTCTGTGCTAATGTGCTCACCAGCCTCTCCCAGCCCCCTCCACACCCACCCCCCACTTTCTGAGAGCAGCTCGGTGGGAGTGCCGGCTGTGCTAACAGGAGGGAGCTGTTAATAACACACACTGCCTACAGTAAAATACGCATAAGCAAAAAGAAAACCCACAAAAACTCAGCGTTTTGATTTACAACCTTTTCTTCTAGAAATGTATATACATTCTTTTATAGAAACAAGATCACACCAATTTCTAACCTGCTTTTCTTTCTTTAATCCTCACCTAAGGACATGCTTTTATTGTTTTGAGAGAGGAAAGGAGGGAAGGGAGGGAGGGAGGGGGAGAGAGAGAGACAGACAGAGAGACAGAGAGAGAGAGCTCACCTAAGGACATGCTTTTATTGTTTTGAGAGAGGAAAGGAGGGAAGGGAGGGAGGGAGGGGGAGAGAGAGAGACAGACAGAGAGACAGAGACAGAGAGAGAGAGAGAGGGGGGGGGGTATCAAAGTGAGAGAGAAACATCGATAGGCTGCCTCCCACACACGGCCACCGGAAAGGAGATTGAAGCCGCAACCTGGGATGTGCCCTGACCGGCAATCGAACCCACCACCTGTTGGTATACAGGACACAACGCTCCAACTGACTGCACCCCGTCCGCCCCCCGCCCCGCGCCCCGACAGGGCTAATCTGCTTTTTTAACTTAATGATGAATTGGGCACGCTGTTCACTTGTTAAACATCACCCAGCCCTCAGTGTTCTTCTTTGCACACCTGCCTAGTTAACTCCTAACTGGGGGAATGGAGTCCCGAGGGGAGGGCCAGGTGCTCTTTTAGGTCTTAGGTACATTCTGGCAAGTCATCTCCCAGAAACACTGCCATGGTGGTGGGAACACCTGTGTCAGAAACCCCGGCACACAGGGAACCTCTCGCCTCTGTCCTTACCTGTCGCCTCTACACTGGCGACTCCTACGGCTGGTGCCGGTTCTGTCCTCTCCCCCAAGTCAAACCCCGTCTCACTGTCCACTAACATCTCTACCTGGACATCCTGACACACAGCCCATCCGGAGCCACACTCCTCTCCTGACCTCCCAGGTGCCCAGAGCGGCCGTCTCCTCCTTGTCCCCGCGCAGACAGCCCACCCAACCCGGGGGTCCTCCCCAGGCCTCTCCCCATCACCTCCCTCCTGGCCACCTTCACTGTCACCACCCCCAAGCCAGGGCACCGAGCTTCTGCCCCATCTCTCTACCCTCTTCAGTCTGTCTGACCCGCCACACGAACAGCCGCTCACTCCCCGCCAGTGAAATGCCAACTCCGCACATGATCCTCACTCGGGTTCCACCTGCAGCCGAGTCCGCTCAGGGGGGACTGTCACTGTTCCTGGGTCTAATGACACAACCTGTGTTATTCCCCCACTTCACACGCCCGGGCGCCGGACCCCTGCTCCCTGCGACTGCCCCCTCTTCCCCTCCCGCCGCCGCCCCCCCGCAACCTGAAATGGGCTCGTGCTCATCACTTCATCCCCCTCCTCCGTGGCGCTTGCTCACCCTTGTTGGTGTCCTGCTTCCTGTGCTCCCGAGGCCTCTCTGCTAGCCACCCTGAGAGCTCCTTGAAGGCAGGGAGTGCGCCTCCCTCTCTGTGTCCTTGGGGTCTAATCCTTGCCCGACTCCAACAAGGAAAATGTGCCTAAGAGAAATGCTGTCCTGTCCTTTATTAGATTCACCCCAGCGAGCCCGGGCGGTCGGAATCTGATTAGCTCTGAATTAGGAAGGACAGCAGGAACCTGCTCTGCCCCTGGGCCTGCCACGCCTCTCTCATCCAAGGGGGACGAACAGCAAGAGCAGAGGGGGCGCTCAGGCGGCCAAGGACGGCCACGGCCACGGGGACTCGGAGCCGCTCGGTGGTGAGGCAGCCAGAGCCAGCGTTTTTCCCGACCAACCAGTTTCCTAAGGAGACAGGCAGAGTGGAGGGGAGGACGGGGACTTCATCACTAGAGAACCCCTACTCTGTCCTCAGCACCCTCCACGTCCTCCCATGTAATCTTTGCAATATCACCATGATAATAGCATTATCCCCATTTGACGGATGAAATCGGGGCTCAAAGAGGATAAAGGACGTGCCCCAAATTATCAGCAGCAAGTAGCTGCTCAACTCAGTTGTTTGTTGAGCAGCTCCTACAAGCCGGACGCCAAGCCGGACGCACTGCTGGAGGCTGGAACCACGCAGGAGAGGCCCTGCCTGCAAGGGGCGCGTAGGTAACTTGCAGAGCAGATGCAGATTTTAAAGTAAAAGGGCAGTAAGAATCCAAGCCACGAGTTAAACTCGGGCTCCAAGAGCACTTCCCTCCTGAAAACGCTCACGCGGTGCCCCCTCTGGACCGCCTCGGATTGGCTGTCTGTGGGTGTTGTGACTTTGCCCATTCTGATGCCGTCACTAGGGTACAGCTGTCACACTTTCCAAATACTGAAACCAATCCCAGATCTGAATGGGTGCTGGCCAAGGAAGGTGCTTTGAAGCAGGGCTCCCCATCCTCCTCACCCTGGGGGAACCATGCTCCTAAGGCCGTTTAAACCCATGACCACTGGCGCCCTCTGTGGGCTGAAAAGCCAGCAGGGTGGGAACAGAAGGTTAAGAGAGCAGGGATGGCAGAAGGCTCGTGTCAAATGCTCCAAAGGCAGCCCTCCTGGTCCACATGGACCCCTGGTAACTAGGCATCCAGCCAGAGACAAAGAATGACCTTCGGAATTACGGAGGCCCAATCTGTTTCCTCCGTCCCCTTCCAATCTGAGGGTGATTCTCAGCCCAGGTATGAGGGACGACAGGAAAACTCACACCAAGCAAGACCAGCCTACCTCTGGCAGGCCTGTGCTTGCCGCCTACAGGTGACCTAAGCGTGAAAATCCAGATTTACAGAAAAGACAGAGCAGTGAGTGGCTCTGTGTTTTGTAGACGATGAGCTGGAGGATGCCATTGGCAACGGCACTTCCCCCCTTGCTTATTTCGTTCAACAAAACTGACAACCGATCTTTGTGCAAAGAGGGGCTGCTTCCGATGATGTCGGGGTTCAGAGGAGACATTTCCAGGCTGGATGGAATCCCACCTACCCACAAGCACATTTGCATTTGAAACTGTGAAATCATTTGAGACTCTCTCCCTGGTAAGCACATGCCTTGGGGTCATGTTCCTTCACTTCCCAATGGGGAGAGCAAGGACACTCTTCGTCCTTCCTTCCCAGCTGGGTTGGCCCCCCAGAACTCTGGCAGTCCGTGGGCCTCCCTTGTTCCCAGAGCGAAATGTGGGCGGCAGCTTCAAAGGCCTGGAAGCAGACGCTCTCCATCCCAAAGGCTTCCTCTGCCCAGACCAGTCTTGGAGCCGGAGGGGCCCATGCGGCCCCTCGCATGGCCACCGCCCTTCCTCTGTCAGAGCACAGGACGTGGCGCCAGACCCTCACAGCTCCTGCACAGCCGCTCCTCCCTCCACGTCCACCTGAGCCAGACTCCACTTAATGAAATCAACCGGGGCAGGAGCCACCCGCAGGGCTCGAACGTGCTGAGCGTCACTCTCCCTCCCCATGCCACTGTTTTATTAAAAGGTCGCCAGGCCTAATCTCATTGTGGGGACCAGACACTGCGCACGTCCTCCGGCCTGGCCACTGCCCTTCTTATCAACAGCAGGGCTTTAACTGGGTTAGATAGACTGTGTTGGGGCTGGGGCTGGATCTTTTCTTGATGGCGGGGGTGGGGGGGTAAAGCTCAATTTAAAAGAGGCATGGGGCCTGCCGGCCTCGAGTTTGACATGCTAGCCCTAGAGTGTCCTAGAACAGTGGTCGCCAACTGGTGGTGCGTGAGGTCCGAAAGGCTGGCGACCACTGTCCTAGAAGATGATGGAGGAGTGGCAAAACGAGGGCTGAGCTGCGAGGCAGGGCACTTTCTTACCAGCCCACCTCCCAGGAGCCCCCAGGAAGAAAGCTAAGCTGAAAGTCAGACATGGAGTCCAGTTCCCCATTAGGTACGGGGGACTCAGTGCCAGGGCTCCATTACTTGTAGGGACCCTCCCCCCCAAAAAATGTCTTGATTTCTGTTGAAATCAGGAGGAAAAATAAAATTTTAGGGTTGAAGAAAATGGTTTAATTTTTAATCCAGTCTGGATTATATTTGTCTTTAAACCTACACAGTCATAAAACATCATATTTACTTACTATAGTTTTTATGGAGGAAGGGGTCCGCAAAGGCCCATGGGAGTCACAGTGCAGCCTGGTCAGACGTGTGGCTTCAAAGCCAGCCCCAGTTCATGACTGTGTGCTCCCAGGCAGCCCAGGTCTCCCCTCTGAGCCCACTTCCTCGGCCATAAGGAGGAGGACACCGAGGTCTACTTTACTGGCCTGAAGCAAAGATTAGGTGGGATCGGTCTGTACCCGAGCCTCGCACACTGCCTGCCACGCAGTAGGCATTCAGGCAACAGCAATCGAACAAAAGCTACTAGTAAATCTGGTCTTAGTAGGAAGAGCCACATTTCAAACACTGTTGACACCCGTGGTTTGGGGCTACAGAGAGCCAGGTGGCGCAGACAGCAAGACCCCCTCTAATAAAGCCACACTCCCCTCCCCTCTGTCCATCATCAGCCATCCACTGAGCAGCCATCCACCCCGCCCCCTGGATCTGGGGTGATTCTTCCACCACCGCCTTCCACTGCTGCCGAACCACCCCAAGCTGTGCCTGCCAAGGGAAGCAGTGGGACAAGGAGGTGGTTGCACTCTGGGTTCAGGAGGCTCCTCCTACACGGGGGTGAGGTGGTCGCAGCCCTTCCTCTGTATGGGGCTCATCTTGACATTTACACGTTGCTTGTATTTTCTGCCTCAATCCAATTTCACAGGAGAAACCAAGGTACCTACAAGAAGGTGGCAAAGCTTTCTTTTTTTTTTTTTTTTGCTCTGAAAATACAAGAACAGAATCGAGCTTCATTTAATGAGTCTTAGAAAATTCTCCAAGACCACCAAGGTGGAATGAATGCGAGGAGAGGGGCAACCACTGGGGGGAGAGGTGTGGCAGGGGTGCCAGCCTCCGATGACCTGCCAGGACTGCAGGGCCCACGTGGATCTCTGGCGGTGCCCTGGGGGAAGGGCCGGCAGAGAGGGGTGGTGCCTTGCCAGCCCGCATGTGTCAAAGGCCTACGGAGGTCAGTTCTGCACCTCCTGTACCCACAATTCACGGCCCACCCAACCCAACCCAAGGAGTCAGGATTTCCCAAATGATTAACTCCCACTTTCACACCAAAAAGCTGAGGATGTTAGTTTGGAGGAGGGGATCTAGACACGCCAGCCCTGCCACAGGGGGAAGAAGGAGAGAAGCGAGGCGGCGGGAGGCACAATTTGGCCGTCTCGGTCTCAGGTTTCAGAAGACCAGTCGTGGCAAAAGGTGGTTGATCCACTTATGTCTTCTCCCTCCTTCTACCCCGGCCAGGGAACAGGGCCCAATCTCAGCCATAGGCCCTTCCATTCCAACTTCCGCGGAGACTCGCACAGAGGAAGCCCGGGGGCCGAAGGCTGACCGCCCGGGAAGGGGCAGGGCACGCTCTTTACCCTCGGGCCTCGCTCGGTGGTCCCCGAGCCCGGGAAGCAGGGGAGGCGAGAGACAGGTGCGACCGCAGGTGC